GAAACTTTAACGTCCTTCTAAAGTTTTCCGTAAGAAGAATGATTTAGAAGGTTGTCAGTGATCCGTCCCTGCTTCTATTTCTGTGTTTTATTTCTCACCATGTTCCCATCATGTATCCTGCGGGGCAGCCACACTCAGCTGCCCAGCTTGCCATATGTTCTTTCCTCTGGAACTACCACCCTTTCCCTCTATCCAGATGATGACTAATCTGAGAATCTTTCTTCTGGTAGGATTTTACTGCTTCTTTGTTTCCATGGCATTTTGTTCATATTTTCACTGTAGAATCTGTTTTCATTTAGCTTTGCTTTATTGCTTTGCCCTTATTACACGCTCTGTATGTGTTTGAATGAATAAACCAGAACATTAATTAAAACTCTCTCAGTTTATTTGGGGGATGGGGAGGGAAGCTTAATTTATAACAAATGTTGGAATTAAAATTAATCAGTAGCATATTAGAGTAATATTAATACCAATTAAGATTGTGTGTCATGTCTTACGTACAAGTCTGGATGTTGCAGTCAAATATTAACAGATGATGGAAGAAACTTGTCGATCATTTATTGATAGAAAATAACTTAATTATTAAAATAAAGGAAACTTAATTAACTATTTTTTCAGTAAAGGATATTATAATGTAACTATTTTTGAAACTCTTAAAATTTTATTTTAGGTTACATCGTTTGCATTTGTTAAGTAAAGTTCAAGTTATAGTTGAGCCCTTCACCTATGAGGTGTGCCAATTAACTCTTTTAAAATTTCAGAATATTATCACATTGAAATGGAAAAAACTTAATTCTTAAGTTGCATATTTTAAATGTTTACTATCAGTATGTTATTTATCTGAATACAGTTAGTTTTGACTCAAAATTTTCTTCAAGTTTTCAAGAAGGTTGGTTCTTATTTAACTTTAGAGTAGAATGAATTTATTCATTAAAAATCATTATTGTAGCAGTTAAAACCATAACAGTATGGGGGGGGTTGCCTTCTTAGAGATGGATGTTTTAAATTATCTTAGGGCTCACATATTCCTTTAAAATATAAATATCATAGACACTTAAAGATATTGGACAAAGATTATCAGGTTGTCATCAGAACAGACAGTGAGCTAGTAGTATTTTTTATTCTTGGGTTCATTCCTATGAAGTAATAAATTTGCGTTTAGACTCTAGAAGCCAGCTTTGGAGCTGTTTGGACATAGATTTCTGGGCTCTGGTGCTCAGAAGGGCAGGGCAGGCTCTGGGTGAGCAAGTTCTTTTGTCCTATGGATTTTTCCTGTTGAAAGCTGTGTGGTCAGAAGAACAGGGATGTCCTTCTAGAGGATTCAAGGCTAGGTCCCTCCTGTCCCAGTCCTCAGAGTAGGACTGTGCATGCCCTGAACCAGGTAAAATGCATGTTCCTTAGGAGAACTGGACGTTCACATAGTCTCTAGATACTTGAGCTATGATTGAGAGCCCAGCATTCTAAAAAATAAATTGTAGTTTCTCTGTGAACAGTTACTGTGTGCTTAATTGTTCATGCACATTGAAAATAGCCAGTAGAGTTTCTGACTGTTAGTTTTGTGTACAAGAACCTAATTTTTTTTTGAAATAATAAAATAATGGTATTAAGCTTGGATTTATGCCTGCTTGGTAGAACTTCTAATTATATACTCCTGGTTTTAAATATTTTCCTACTTTTTTAAAATAGCTATTAGGTTTTTTATGGATGGTAGTGTTGTTAGTGTGAAAAAGAATAAATTGAAAGGTATTTTAATGCTGTTCTAGCCCTGGTTCAATTTCCAAGTGTATTCAAGGGAAAGAAAAAGCTGTGAATTGACCACTTAAGTAAATCAGTTTGCAACTCAATGTCCTAAGATTATTAAATCTAGAGGTAGAAATACAATTTTATGTCGGAAAAATTCATCTCCTACAACTTTTCATCAAATACTATATTACCTTTCAGATTGGTCTCATGTTAATATACAATTGTAGTTTTTACAGTAATTTAGAAAAGGAAAGAACCAATTCAAAGTAAAAGGGAATACTTGATTACTCTATTGTATAAGAGCAATACGAGCTAATTTACTGTTACATTACTCAACATTGAAAGCTGCAAGAGGCTATCTTTCGGTTCATTCTTCATTAATTGTACTGGGATATTAGTATCTATTACAGATGAGTTTTATGGAAGGCTTTTAAGTTGACATCTATGAGCTTGTATTTTGGCTCATGTAAATATCTTTGACATATTTTCTGCATGAATTTTGAAGGGCAAATTAAGTGGTGAAGGCAAAAGGAATCAGTCACTAAGATTCTTCTATAAAAATTCACACAATAAACTAGTGTTTGAAATGGTCCTTAGTTCATCACAAATTATAATTGTTGAACATAAATTATTGCACTTAAAAAAAACTTTTTACTTTACTGATCTTTATAAAGATTAGCTCTTCTAAATTTGCCTTTTATTCTAGATCACTGGAGTTTTATTAAATTAATTTTGGAGGCATTCCACTATTCATAGTTCTTCAGTTAATAGTCAGGTATTTGGGAATTAGTTTTGACCTTTGTTAAAATTCAGGTAAAAGGTATATGTGATGGTAATTCTAATAGAGCCATTTGAGTAATTTAAGTGGTGCTTGTTGCACATGTATATACTAAGACCATGGTACAGAAATACATTTACTTGTTTATGTTTGAATTTAGCTCAGTCTTGCACTATGTAAGTAGATAATAGTATATTAAATAAAATATTATGATGGTACTTGATAGAATAAATTCTCCACACATTGTGATCTTAGGTTTTTGATGGTAATAACACTTTTTGTCCAGGACTCTGTATTTTCTAGGGCTGCCATATTAAAGTACCACAGACTGGATGGCTCAAACAACAGACATTTATTTTCTCATGGTTCTGAAGGGTAGAAGTCCAAGATGAAGGTGTCTGCGGGGTTGGTTTCTTTTGAAGGCCTCTCTCCTTGGCCTTCCTTCTGTGTGTGTCTGTGTCCTAATTTCCTCTCCATATAAGGACATCAGTCAAATAAGATTAGAACCCACCTTCATGACCTCAATTTACCTTAATTATATTTTTAAGGACCCTTTGTCTCCAAGTACAGTCACATTCTGAGGTAGTAGGCGTTAGGACTTGACATGTGACACAGTTTGACCCATAACAAGGGCATAGAGTGAATTCTATGCAAACTGAAATTTGGGGTCACCGATATGTTTAAGATGTGTAGCAGTTTATTTGAATGTTTTACTTGTGTACTTTTAAAAATTAGGTGTTAGAAATACCTTTTTTATTTACTCTTTACCTGTATTGTAGAGATGGAGGGAAAGGGCAGTTAGAGGCTGCTGCTGCTGCAGCTGATGATAGCAGCTAGTATTGATCAAGTGCTATATTATATCCCATGCTCAGTTCTGAACACTTTTTAACTTGAGGGTGTTGACATGGTCAACAAGGAGTTAGGGCATCTCTGTTTAAGGGTGGTTTACATTTTCTTGGCTCTTCTCTTAGAATCCAGATATGGGGTCCTGAGTTAGTGGTCAGGGGCAGTTTTTCAGGTTAGTCCTTTTATAAAGCCACATGAGATTCTTTGCAAACCATGATTTCATGAGATATCTGAATTTTTCTATAGATACAGGCTTTTTAAACATGGAAAATTGAGGTATCCTGGAAACATTCTTAGCGTTGGAAACAAACCATCTTAAAATTACCTTAGATCAGGAGAGTCCCAGAAAGAATATTTTCTATTGTATTTCTATTTAGCTTGTCACTTTGTACTTGCCATGTCATAGGTGCTAAGTACATAATTGTAGAATGAATGAGTAGATTTCAGTTAAAACAAGAGCTATAAATAACAGTCACAGCTGCAGTGCACTTTTCAAAAGCTTGTATTGGCATTGTCAAAGTAATTATATTGTCTTCTCTATCCTAGAAGTCTTTTATTTTTTGTTTTTTGCCAGCAAGTGTAATGTACAGGGAATCTTAATTATAGACAGATAAAAGCAGCAGCCCCCCTGGACCCCTCTTACTTTAGTCTTCTCACGTCTTTGGGGTTTGGCAACAATAGAGCGGTAGATGGTTCAGCCGGGGTGGATAGAAACTCTCCTCCCTCTAAGGTTTCATAGATGAGAACAGGTTATTTTGCAGGGGTCCACTTTGCCCACCAGGAGGGGGTAGAATTGGTAGCTCTGAATGTTTTTGCCTTAGTCCTTTTGTGATTTGTCTCATGGGACTGTGTTTAGACTCGTGGGTCTTTTTAAAAATGTTTCTTTTAGCCAAGATGCCAATATTTTTATGTAAAATATCCAGGATATTTTGAGAAGTGTAGGAGAAATCAAAGAACCAGACTGACAATCTATAATCCTATTTGAAAAACTTTACATAGATGTGCGTGTGTTTATTATTTGATTAGCATCACTCTGTGCTTCTAAAAAATTGAATAATGTACAGCCTTTGGGAACAAATACCTGTTTTTGGCAGAATTCTATTTCTTAATATTCACATTAATGTTGTAATTATCTTATTCCCTGCTGCTTGCTTTTCGGTGTGTACCTGCACTTCCTTTATTTTTAGTGTAATTTATTTAATGGGTGGGGAATTTTAGGTGTGGCATGAGAGGGTAAAATCTGGATCCCATATTTTGAGAACGGTACTGCCAACTTGTCGATACTGTTTCAAAATTAAAAAAATTCTTACTGGAGATAACAATTGGATTTGATATTATAATGGTTAGGTATATATAACTGTGTTTTAGCCTAAGGTTATCTTTATTATTTTTCTCACTTCTAACTGAATTTGTGCAGTTTTCAGGGTATATTTATCATTTCCACGTTAGTGGGTTAAGTCCTGTATAAACTAAAATGGAATTTCATGAATTGAAAATACTTGTTAAAATTTTAAGTATGTCTTTATATGAATGAAACACCTAAGGGTTTCCAAAGGTGATGCAATGGAATGTGACTGAGTTGAAATCATCTGTATGAATCAGATCTTTGTGGTATATTTGTGTCTTGATTTAGGTTGGTTGAAGACTTTCAATGACTACTTTAGAGACAAGACTCAGTATATTTTTAATAACATGGTCGTAAAGCTGGCAGAAGACTCGAGGAGGAAGTTTATCTGGTCTGAAATCTCTTACCTTTCAAAGTGGTGGGATATTATAGATAATCAGAAGAAGGATGCTGTTAAAAGGTTTGTTTTAATTTTTTTAAACTTGGTAATACTGAGGATTAATTGTACAATGAAACAAATAATGAATTTTTAGAAGGTGAAAATTCTTATCTTTATATCTGAAACAAAATATTTCTTCACATTCCTTTTTTTATGATTGCGGTTTTCATCTCGGAGAAAGTGATTTGAAACTTCCTATGTAAATCCTTATGTTCCAACCTTGTCCTAGAAATGGAATTACTAGGTCAAAGGAGCTTAGCATCTTAAGGTTTTTTTTTTAAAGCATAGAATCAAAGTGACTCCTGGGAAGTTTGTTTCAGAGTATTTTTCAGTCTTCCATGTAGAAAGTACCAATTTTTCTGCCTGTTAGCTAACACTATAATTTTTGAAAATCTTGGCCAATTTGATAGATGAAAATTTTAATTTGCATTTTGCTTGGTAACAATATTGTGTATTTCCTCATATATATAAGCTAAGGTTTTTGTAACTTGCTTATTATACATTTTCTTACTGATTTATAGACACATTTTTATGTATATTGAAAACTCCTTTATTTTTCTCAAGTTTTTATTTTCTTCTTAATATCTTAGTGTGTGATATATATGTAGATTTTTAAAAAATTTTTATGTATTCAAATCTATTATTCTGATTTCTTTAGATAATTGCTTTTACTGTCATATTTAAAAAGGTCTTCTCCAATCTAGATGTCAGATAAATAGTCCTTTTTGCCTTAGTTTCATTTTTTGACCATTCCCACTTTTTGAAAGACTGTATCTGTTTTTGATCTAGTGCAGTGGGAAGTCCTCTGACCACCATGTATATCCTCTTCTCAGGAGTTAAGAATTACTTCATGGTTTTTTTTTCCATTTATTTAACATGACTTATTAGCACTTACTGTATTACTGTTCCATGTTGTAACTGATAATCCTTCCAACAATTATCTGAAGTAGGTACAGTTATGATCTCATTTTACAGATTAGGACCCTGACTCCTTCAGTGTCACTGGCGAGGTCATGGCAATGCTGGTATTCTATCTGGTACAGGCTGTCCAGCTCCAGGGCTGTGCCCTTTGTCCCCTGTGCTGTGATGCCTCCTTGAGATTTTAATTCTTTTCTATTGATTTAAAGTGTAAACTTTAATATATGTAAATATGCATTGATTTCTTAGCTTTTTAACCTATTTCATTGACTTTTTGTTTGACTGTGGCTTTATGGTATGCGTCATTAACTGACAGTTTAAATTTCCTCTCATCTTTCCTTTCTTTTTTTAAAAATGTTTTATTTTGAGTTATTATGGATATGTAATAGTTATATATATTTATGGAGTGCACATGATGTTTTATTATGAGTTTATAATATGTAATGATTAAAAAGTCTAATTGGGATATCCCTGATATCAAGCATTTATCATTTCTTTGTGTTAGGGGCGTTCTCATCCCATTCTTTTATCTATTTTGAAATATATAATGTATTATTAACAATTGAAAAGATTGTTTTAATGAGTGACCATTGAATTTTCCCCAAACCTGAGAATGAATTCATTAAATTCCTTCTATTCCGTCAAAAGCAAAACTCTTTGGTGATGAAAATTGACGTAAGCATTTAAAGGTAATTTGTGAAGAATTGATTTTCCCTAATTTTCACTGGAGGTGGTTTTTTTTTTCTTCTTTTTTTTCTTTTTTCCTGGATTGCAGGCTCAGAGTACTTAGAGGGCTGGTGAAGAAGCTACTTTAAGTGGAGACTGTAGGCTCTGGGAGTATTAGATCCACTGGGTCACTGCTTCATCCAGAGGGTCTAGCCGCTTCTGCTCTGGCCATGTGTTGCCATGGAAACCAGGTTATCAGGCTGTCCCTCCAATTACTAAGACAAGCTGGAATCCCAAAATGTTATATATAAAGTTCCTTAACTTTTTAAATTGAAATGTTAGCTAATTTAGATTAACGTATGTAGGCACATACATACGGACGAGCACACGCAGAGCCGAACAGAACACATCAGCGTTTCTTAATCTTTAGTTTAGATTGAGCTACCTAGTAGTTGGCAACCTTTTAAAATGTAATAGGTGTCTTGTAAAACCACGTAGAACTGCTGTTTGTTTTATAGGTAAAATTCTTTGATGAAGTTTTAATATTAAAAAATGTTTTTGGTCTGTTTAGATTTTAACATTGCTCCTTGTGTACAAATAATACCTCATATTTTCTAGGAAAATGGTAATTTTTTTAGAGATTTGGAAAATCTCTCGGATGGTGAGGTTTTAAGAATTTGTCCATCTATACTTATTTTTGCTTTTTCTGTTACTTCTCTTGGGAAGCCGATTTTTCTTCTTTATCTTGATTTACTTAATTTTGCTGTTTCTTTATCTTCTTAACCCCCCACCCCAAACTTATTTATATTTTACTGGTTTTTACTCTTGCCCATTCTGCTTTTGTCTTTTCTGAGTCCTTCTATCCACCTTCACCCAGTGCTACATGGGCCAGTCCATTTAATAAGCAGCGTGTCTCCATCTGGGTTTGCCTTTAAGCACTGCTCTAGCTAGCATTTACATTTCTATGTGCTATTTTTACCCAAAATATTCTATATCTGTACTAACTGTTTTCTCTCTGACTTGAGCATGTTAGTAAAATAATATTTTGTGTTATATTTTTCCTAGCTATATACTTCATTTAAAACAAGCTTTTATTATTTGTCTATCTATTTATTTTTTTGAGAGAGTCTGGCTTGTGTAGAGTTCTTTGGGATCTCCTGCCTTAGCCTCCCAACTACAGAGGAGTACGGGCATAGGCAATTACATGCAGCTAATTTTTCTTTTTTAGTAGAGACAGGGTCTCACTCTAGCTCTGGCTGGTCTCATGAGATCCTCCTACCTTAGCTTCGCAGAGTGCTAGGATTGTAGGCATGAGCCAACACACCTGGCCTAAGAAGGGCTTTAATGTCTTATGGTCAGGGTGTTTCGATTGTATACCTTTTATTCTTTTAGAATTGTTTGAGTTTTTCTTTGTGACTTACTGTGTGGTCCGTGTTGATAAACTTCCTCTGGTAGCTGAAAAGCTGTTTGTAGAATGCAGAGTTTGGTGGGTGTCTGCTAGATGAACTTCACTGGTACCTGAAGAGCTGTTTGTAAAATGCAGCATTTGGTGGGTATCTGTTGGTTCAACATTTTAGAATTCGTTTTTGTGCGGTCAGTTCTGGTGTCACGCCACAACCACATCCCAGAATTGTGCAGTGAAAACCACAGGGCTTATGGAAAAAGTGGGCATACTGTATACCACTTAAACACTTCATTAGTGACACACACACACAAATTGGAAGTGTAATAAAGATGCTAGTCCAGTATCACATGTGTTTAATTGGTTAAGAAATGCATAAGTAAATGTATCAGTTTACCTTAAAAAAGACCTAATGTTTGCTTGTGGAAATGGGTATTGAGAGGAATATAGATCATGAGTTTTTGTGAATTGGCAGCAAGGGGGTTATCTGAAATGCATTGGAAAGTTCAGCTGTGGTGGCTGGTATTGAGTGTGTGGGTCACTGCCTGCCTAGAGCTAGGAGACATCTGAGGGGTGCCTTGTGTATTCCTGCACAGCTCAGTTCATCTCAGTATGGTTTTTTCCTTTGCCTAGTATTTCTCAGGACTAAGTTGTGCATAAGCAATGCAAACTATGTTCCCTAATCCATCACTTGGAATGAATTCCTACTTTTAAAACAATCTTTTATAGCAGAACTGACTGTACTTATTATTTTGCTATTATTCCTCTGCCAGCTTTTTTTTTTTTTTTTAAATTTTGGAATGTTTTATTTTTTATTTTTTATTCTTGTCTGATCTTTGCTGCCTCATTAGCTCATTTGTTCATTCATTCATTCATTTAATGGACATTGAAATTATCTATGTTGGGGCAAGGATTGCAGGGTTTGGGCACTCCCTGGCTTTTCTTCATCATAAATTCTTTTTCTTTATCATAAATTTTAACTTTCATCATTGACAAATTACCATCTTTTCTCCTTTAAATGACTACTATTGCTGTCACTATCAATCTTTTGTTGTTTGTTTGTTTGTTTGAATTTGCCTGACCTGTGCTGCCCTCTTTACTTTAAGGACAGTGGATTTGGAGTTGTAGTTCTAAAGGGCTGGGCGCTAGGGCCAGGCTTCCTGGGAAGTCCCATCTACTGGGTTACTTTGGGCAATTTACATAACTTCTCTATGCCTCAGTTTCTTCAAGTGGGAGTAACATTGGAATGCTAATTTATTTTATTTAACATTGGAATGTTAATGTTATTTAGTTCTCAGTGAGGATTAAATTAATACAAATAACATGCTTGGCACAATACCTGGCACATTTTAAATCCTCAATAAATGTTAATAACTCTTATTTTAACTTTAATTTGTCACTTGTATGTTTCTCTTGGATGCCATATGTAAGTTTTAGTTCTGAAGTTATCTTGAGAATCTATACCATTTAATGGTAGATTTTAAGTATAAAATGTATGTGTTCTGTCTTAAAAAAATTTCCTTACATAATGCTTCATTGAAGATAACTTTTTTGTTGTGCACAGATGCTATTTGAATTTTTTTACTATATCCGTGAAAGTATAAATCTTCGCAAAGTTACATATCTAAGTATTTAAGTTTTCCGTCTATCAGTTTGAGTGGTTTTTAGCTTCCATGTTCTGTACTTACTAATTGATAACTACTTTTATTTTATTTGTTTTAGAATCCATTTATCTGGTTATTGAGTCTCTAGGGTCTCTTTTTCATATGCATTTTTATTTTAATTTCCTATATTTACAGCATTTTGGGAGGTTTTTCTCAAGAATTTCCGACCTGTGCACTCCTCCCTATTCAGTACTGTCTAATGAGTCCTTTCTTTTCTGACTTTGAATGCTTGTTTTAACTTTGGCTCTCTATTCTTTTTCTTATTGTCCATAGTCCAAATGTTTTCCACCTTTTTATTTATTCTTGAGCAAGAACAGCTATATCCACACCTGGAATTTGTCCCAAGTAACGAGTAACTTGCCTGGAATCCC